CACAAACTGTGTGGAATCATCATATCACAATCTTTTTCCTCATCTCACACAAATACTTCTGAAGTGATCTCTGTGCAGTAAAATGCTGAAATTCAGTACACACAGTAAAATATTTGAATTCATAACCAAGCACAGTATTCACACTCTTCCATTTCTGCAAACTTTCTCACCTCTTAGAACTCCTCAGATCTTAAAGTTATGCACATTTTCAGAAGTGAAATGCAGGAGGAACTGACCCATTTACCCTGCAATGCCATTCCAAACTTCCCAAGATAAAAAGTGAAAAATGCAAAAACAAAACATATCTCCACAGCTCTCCCTAGCTGAGAAACAGCAGAAAGGTTCTGACCTTTCTTGAACTAGCACTTCATACACAAACGAGCCAAAGAAACCTTTATTTTAAGGTCAGTGCCAACCCCCTTTTTCATCCAACCTTCTTTCCAGCTTGCTTAAAAAGCAACAATACACTAGAAGGGACTAAGAAAACAGGATATAACATATTGGCTAGAGCAGCCGCGGGCAAACTATGGCCCGCGGAAAAAAAAAAAAAAGACCGTACCCTTTTATGTAATGATGTTTACTTTGAATTTATATTAGTTCACACAAACACTCCATCCATGCTTTTGTTCCGGCCCTCCAGTCCAGTTTAAGAACCCATTGTGGCCCTCGAGTCAAAAAGTTTGCCCACCCCTGGGCTAGAGGCAGCTTGGTGGCATGAGAATTGGGCTGCTATCACACTGAAAGTGCTATTAATGAAAATCACTGACCAATTCTTACTTCATGGTGGGGTTGCCAACAATCAATGAAAGGGCTGACACCAGGCAGGAAAAGAGAGCAGGAGGACAAATGAACTAATCATCATTATTTACACCTTGCACTCCCCTTACCACTCCCACTTAAGCAGCAGCCTCCGCTGCAACTTCAAACTTCTGTGCCTGGTTTTCCAAGTAGTCTATCTTGGGCCCACTCTCCCTAAATTCAGAGATGACCAAGTTCCTGGAAGGGATCTATCAGATCTTTCCCAGTATCTCCCATACCAGATTATGGATTTTAATGCCAACAATAAAAGTGTCCTGTGGTCAAATAAATTTAGGAAATAAGGCACATCACATGGCCTTCTCTGATATTCAAAACTCGCATTCACATAATAAAAGACTTAATTCTGACGTTAACAAGTCACCCCTTGAATTGTGTCTAGTCCATCAAGTTCCAAAACTATTCGAGAGCAGATCACATTTTTCTGTTCTAAAACACAACCTCTGAACACCTGGCAAAGCTGTGTTCCTATCCAGCATGGGTACCTTTGCTCTAAAACTAACCTAAACCTCTCAACTAATGGATTTGGAAAATGATACTTTTAGAGAGTAACTTCCCAAAGTGACTCAACCAGTTAGGACAGCCAAGCCTGGAATTTTTCTCCACTAGTCTCCTGACCCCCTAACAAGCACTCTTGACTTCCATAATGTTGGACTTATGTCCATCAGGCCTTCCTTGCCCCCAAGCCCTAACCAAATAGCATCTTCTCACTCCTCTCTTTTCTGCACCTTCTTCACTATTCCCTCTTCTTAGAATGCTCTTTCCATCCCACATTCCTTCCCTATCTATCCAAATCCCTTCAACCTTTTAGGTTCCATCTTCTCCATGAAGCCTTCTCAAATACTTTAGCCAATGGCACTCACTACCCCATTCTCTGAAAGCCTATTGCACGTCGTTGGTATTAGGCATCCAAGTGCCTAATTTTAAAATTTTGTAGGTGCAGGACTTGTCAGCAGCTAAACTGTACACTCCTTCAAGATGCTAGATATATTTTAAGTTTCTTTGTACTCTTTCTAATACCTTGCACATATCAGGCACTCCATAAATATTCGCTGACTGATATGAGGAACATGATTAATGTTGTTTTTTTAAACAACTGAATAAATGATATTTGACCATAATAAATTTTAAAGCCTATTTAACATGGTATACTAAAAGTACAACAACTTCTGTACAGCCTATTTACACTATCGATGTGTAGCGTTTCAGGGGGAGCCCTGAAACAGAGCGAGGAAATGAAGACCACATGAAATTCTTGGTTTGATCCTGTATCCACCAGAAATGAGTCTTCCTTAGTTTTTACAAGCCTGCAGAGCTCCAGTTGGCCTCCTGTCTGCTAATCCCACCAATTTCATCTTTGCTTCCCTTGGTCAATTGTACAAAAGGAAGATGCTTTAAAAATCCAGTGCACAACAGACGGGGCGGGGGGTAATAATGATTTTGCAAAGTCAAAATTTTAGCTGCAGCACTCACATGGCTTACTAATTGAGACTACACAGAAAGGAACCCAAATAAGAACAGAAAGGCAATATTATCTGGCATATCATGGTACACTGACAGTACTGGAACCCCAACATTTTCATTATACTTTGTTAGAAGCAACTTTTTTTTTAAATGAGGCATGACATCTGGGGATATTCACTCTCAACCTGTTATTCAAAGAATATCCAAATAAACAATACCATATCCAAACGGTAATCCTGTTTCTCAAATGCCTAATGAAAAGAACACCACGATCAACTTTAGCCTCCTCACCTACCCTCTTATCTTCTATCATGAGACTCTTCACAATCACATACTTGAACTTCAGGGTGCAATTACTCAAGACAAGTGTCCCTGCAGAATATGAAACTACCTCAGCCAGTTTTACTACCTATAAAGTGTGGGCTTCTCAAACTACTCCCAAAGCTTTCATCATCTTAAATATCCAACAGTGAAAAAACAATCAGCATAAAAATGGCGTTCTCATTAGGCAAGTTTCTTACTTTTGCTCCAGCAAAAGTAAAGTCACAGTTGGACTGGAACAACTTATATCAGCACATTTCATTTTGAGTCAGGAGCCTCTTTTTTAAAGAGGGAGGCAAAAATCAATGTGTCCATCCATTAACATCCCAAGTATGCTACTCCAGTTTGCCAGCTATTGCTCTGAACTGGCATGAGATACAAGCCTAGCAGTATAAGCCAATATTTCTGGTTTCTTATCACAACACTAGCAGCAGCCTCGATGTTACATGGTGACAACTGTTTTCATTTCTAAACACAAGGCACACACAAAAAATAATATATATTTAGGGTACTCTTAGCATCTATAATAATTCTGTCACATACATTTCTATCCAACTTCATAGTTTAGTTGCCTGTTTCCTAATAAGCCCTCACATTTTATGGTGATAGTTGAGTAAATCTTCCAAAATGAGTACATACATAGGTTTTATCCACTGCACACGTATGTTTGACCATCCAGCCTGGACACAAATGTGCAGCCAACAGATCTACCTTTGTCCAGAGAACCAAACATACATTATTTTTATTCCCCACTTTGTTTTTAACCTGAAAAATTTACAGCTTTTCTACAAAAGCTGGATCTTTTACATGTGAACACTGACAGGATATTTGATGATATTAGGAAACTCGTTTATTTAGGTGTGATAATGGTACTGTGGGGGGTTTGGTGTTTTTTAAAGTCATTACCATTTCCAGATACATACAGAAATATTTACATATTTCTCATATCACATCCAGGAGGGGAGGTCGAGTACATGGGATACAGATGAAACAAGATGAGACATGAGCTGGCAGTTGGTGACCAGGGTGTTGGGTACATTGGGGTTTATCAAACTGTTCTCTCTACTTTTGTATATGTTTAAATTTTCTATAAAGTTTTAAGAAAACTTTTTTAAATGTTAGACCATTTAGACCCATACACAGATGTGTAAATTGTATTTAGATATTAAGGTGCCATAGTATTCAGCTAAAAATAACCTGGATTTTGAATTGAGAAAAGTAGCAGGAAAAAAAAGATAATCACAGCAAGAAAGGGAATGGTGTTAACAAGGCAGGGGGAGGGAAAAGGGGGTTACATTTATAGAGACCAATGACCCATACCAGCACCAAATCTGATTCATCCAGGTAAAGACTGTTTCCCCCTGACCCCTGGGCAGCCTACCTCTAACTACCCACCCTCTTCCCCAGAAGCTGGTTAGAGGGCAGCAAAATGTGCATTTGGAAATCAACACTGCAGGTACCCAAGGAATAAAGACTTATATATACACACAAAGCCAATCAGAAAGAAAAAAAGAGAGAAAAGAAAACACACACACACACACACACACACACACACACACACACACAAAAGCAAAGGGAGAGGGACAATTGGGTGACAAGCCCTTCAGATACCAGCTAGGATTTTATTCTTTCCTCCCACCAGTCGTCCCTGGTGTACCTTTTTCTGTCCTCTAACCAAATTGCTCATGTACACACATGTGCATATATATGTGCACAAATATTATAATTAACCCTTTCTGTAACAGAGCCCCATGGGGAATACAGAAAGATATTCCATCCTTTCCTCTCTGCTCTCCCCTCCTCCCTCCTTTCTCCCAACCAGGAGAAAACGCCCCCTTCCCCAGCTCCACCAGAAGAAAAAAAAAAGGCAGGGAGAGGGGACAGAGAAACCACAAAACACCGTTAGTCTCCAGTTCCGAGGACACCCAGGAAAGGTATACACTACACAGACACACACACACACAAGCACATAGGGCTCTGTCGAAAGCACACAGAGAACCGTCCACAGGCGCCCCAAACCCAGCAAAGAGACTTCCACCAGCTAAGAAGCCATGATTGGGGAGGGAGAGGAGGAAGGAGTAGGGGCAGAGCTACCCGTGGAGGGGGGCGCATTGTTGTGATGCCTGAACCCCTTTCTCCATGCCCATCTGCTGTGGAGGGGGCGCAGGGAGGGGGCGCAGGGGAAAGGCGAGCGAAAACGAGGAGACCCGGAGACCAGGCAGGGCTTGGCGATGCCCTCCTGCCGCCTGTCTGTCCGCGCCCCCAGTTCTCCCCCCAACAATAAGATCTCAGCCTAGACAGACAGACCGGCCAGAGCACAGTGGGTGAAGCTCCGGAGCCGGGCACAGCGAAATGGGGTCGTGCATAAAGGAAAGCCAGGGGGAGGGGACCCCCCTTACCTCCAGCGCTTCAAAAGTGACAAAGCTGGTCATGGCAAATCCATCAATGATGTCCTCTTCTGCCGAGGTGGACTCTCTCCGCTTCCTCCGCGGGGGTCTGGGCCGGGACGGGGCGGAGGACGGGGGCTTCCCATTGTC